TCAGATTTCTAATAAACATTTAATATACATAGTAAAAATAGGATAACAATCAGTGCGTAACTTTTATAACCAACCCATAGTTAACTGTAATAAAGTTCGTCGGAATTGGGTGTACAACGTGTGGACATGTCTATAAAGCGAACCAGACCAAATAAATTTTTATGGGAATTTAACGAATTTAGCAAATATGCGAGCATGATTGATTGCATCCTTAATCGTCTCATATTTGTTTTTTAGGTATAAATAAGTCATATACTAACACAATTCAGTAAATTACTTGTATCAAACTGATTAAGGCTTTCTGTGTCGCTATAGTTCCCCTTCACCAAGAGAAGAAACTTGACTGGGCCAATATTAGGGGAGGTGTGTTCACCTTTCCAGGTAGGTTAAATATCTAGGATTGATACTGAATGCCAAGCTGACCTGGAATCCACACTTTCAAAAAATGACAAGTATAAGGTGAGGCAGACATTGTGAATATGTCGTCGCTTTATCTGTAGATCCTGGGTACTGAAACCAAGAAACCTGGATGTATACCTAGATAGTAAGATTTAGGGTAACAAACAGCGAGGGAAAAACTGAATAAAATTCAGATATTGGCCTGTTGGGAATAAAGAGGACCAATTCATCGACCTCGACAGCCAGTAGTAATGCTAAATTAGTCACCGTTCATATAGTAGTGGAGAGAGAAGCATGGTTAGCCGCATACTGACTCGGAAATAATAACGACTAAAGAGGAATTCCCTATTCAAGGTTTCACTTCCATAACCCATTCGAGACTTGAATAGTTTGATACTCTGGAAAGATGAAGCCTTACGGATGGATCCAAAGTAGCCAGGAGGGTGAGTGTACATGGACTCAAACCCAGATGGATGCAAGCCACTGTCTGGAGTAGTTTCCCACTGAATTTCAAGCGGAAATATTCGCGATAATGGCGTGTTTAGCAGAGAATGTTCGTAGAAGACATAAAAATAACCTCATATACATATTCTATGGTCGTCAAGCCACAATTAAGGCTTTAGACACGTACAAAGTAAATTCAAAACTTTTCTAGAAATGTTTGCAAATGCTGATTGAACTGGCACTAATACAGTTAGACTGTGTTGGGTACCAGGATACAAGGGCATTAACGGAAATGAAAAAGCGAATGAACTTGCTAGGAAGGGATCTGAAACATATTTCAGTGGTACAGAGCCCTGTAGCACCTCTCCAGTGTGGTCTTATAACGGATGCAAGATTTTTGGTTGGGCAAAACCATTTTCATAAAAAATAACTCTTCACTGATTATTATTAGCAATAATTTTTTTCACATGTGATAAAAGAAGAAAGAAGAAAAAAGAAGAAAGAAAGAAATAAGTAATATAATATTTCACTTAATCATTGTCATCTGTGTTGCTAAAAATAATTCATAATTTGTTGTGTTCGGTTCATTTTGAAATAAAATAAAGTTTTTTTATTTTAAACTTGTTTTTAACGATTTCTTAGAAAAATCTATGAAATTTATTCAAAAATTGAATATTGTTCAATTTTGTAGATAATAAAAACATGGATTCAATAATATTTAAAAATGTCTATATGTATAAAATTGTCTAATAATTCAGGTTATTTTTCCACAGTTTTCTGACGTCGCAAACAAGCATACAAATCACGGCTGTCGCGTCTAGAAGGCGTTTATATCGGTACGCCCTATCTACCAAAGCCTAAATTAAAAGACTTTTGAAATTTGTTGTGCAATGTTAAATTGTTGAACATATTTCTGTTTCTTTCATTATATTCAAAATTTAAAGTAAATTATAAATATATTTAATAATATTTAAAGAAATACATAATATACTGTTCAACATTATCGAGTGCCAAAGGCGTCTTAAGCGAAGTGTTGATAGTTAAAAGTAAATAGACATTTTTAAAGCCTACATCCTCTTATATTCGTCTTACCAGCAAAACTGGTCTTGAGTGCAAAAAGGAATCAACATTCATCTCTTAAGATTGATAACCACTTACACACAAGATGTATTTATAGAAATATTGCAACGAATAGGTACTTTTAACAAAGATGTTATTAATAATATATTAACTTTCTTATTTTCTCTGATAATTAAATTTATATATCTACACGTATGGACGTGGCTCTTATGCTACGTTGCAAGTGAAAAACTAAAATGGCCTTAAATTAACACAACTGATTAATTTTGACATTTTTGTGCGTCTTTCTTTTCTCGTCCTCGAATTTGTCCGGCAAAGTAACACACAATTAAACACAAATACAAATATTGTATACTTATACCAAATATTTAAGTGAATGAATAGGTATGAATACTTTCCCAAGCATTATTATACCCCTATAGTTCATTATATTGAAATATAGTTATATATAATTTGCCATATGCTACAAACATTCCCTCCACTATGTGTGAAAACATTTTTTATCTTATCGTCAAATAGAATAGCTTCTGTGTAAATTGAACTCGATTGAGTATGAAATTTATATCAAATTGTATTAAGACACCAACTGTTACATTAATTGGTTGCTGTTTTCCAGATAAACGACAGATGTACTCGATATCTAGAAAAGAATGTTTGTTGCTGTTATAATGTAAAGATAATGGTTAATACAAATATTAATTCATATACAACTATCCACTAGATATTAGTTATTCCTTCTATTGATAAGTACATTAGTATAAAGAAAGCAGTGAATACCTATACTAACTTTTAATTAACTGAAAAATATTGTGTTTACTGGTCCCAAATTACTAACTGTCATATACTTATTGTTTTAAAGCTCCGACTGCAATCGATAAATCTTGAATGAATTTTATTATGTTTGTAAAAGTATTATGTGTATGCGAAGAGCGGAAAAACGCACGGAAGGCACGCTGTGACGTCATACCACCCACTCGTGGCTAAGTCGCACATATGATATAATGTATCTCTAGCTATGGAAGTAAATAAAAATAAGTAAATTTAAGCCCTCAGCGCTAGTTAAAAAAGACATCACATTTTGATAGCAAAAGATTGACTTTCAAACGTTGACTGAGAAAAGAATAAGCGGCGTGTAAAAAGAGAGGAATGATCCTACTATAGAAAGAATACAAGAGATGACTCTTGTATATAGATGCGTTGGATGCGTTGCGATTTTTTTAATACATCTTTCAAACCGATATTTATTGCATAAATTGAATTATATATTATCAAAAAATATTTGCCACCACTTTTAAAGCGATTCTTTATTACATGGTAAGTTAATTTTTATGATATAATTTGCTTCTAGATTAGGAATATGGGAGCTAAGTAAATTGTAGGCATCACATTTAAAATAATAAAAGAGGATAAACTTTTTATTACCGCATCCTGGTGCAGTTGAATAACTGCATTATTAACGTACATTCTATTACGTAAACGACAGGAGAACTATATAATATAATACTTTGATGAAAGTTAAATGCCGATTTTAATATTAATCAATTCAAATATGTTTGTAAATACACATATTAAAATATCTTGTTTTATTCCTGACGTAATTTTGTAAAAGTTCAGTAGGTACTTTACTAGATATTACGTCTATGACAGGTAAATATGTAAGACGTGTTAAGAAGTATGACGTAATGACATATCATTTAACAAAATTATTTATTGTGGGAAAACTTTACTTTTAATTACGTAATACTTACAGGTTATAAATATCCACAGGTTATTTTGAAAAAAGGTACCATAAATTGTGCTATATTAGGTATTATTGCAATTGCTGAAAAGAAAATTGTGGTACAAAAAAATATTAATTAATAAAATCTTATCTCATTATCTTTTGCAGTAAAGTAAAGTAAATGTTTGTTTTAATAAAGTAATATTAGTACATTTATAATAAATATAAAATAGGTTATTTACTTTGTTTCAACATCTGTAAGTTAATTCTAAATTTCACAAATCACCTAATTATTTACGCATTAATTAAATTAATTTTGTTTGTGTATCATCTGACATTCTGTGTGAAATACATATTTGCATATTCACAACAACGTTTTTAGATTTTCTACATTTTAACTAACATATTTTTTTGCTACATATTTATCTATCTATACATACATTCTACTAAAAAAACTATTCTTTATTTTCTTCTCAGTAATTTTCAAACTTTAGGAGAGTAGGAAAATCTTCTTACGATTTTTATGCATTTACATATATGTATAAAATTGTTTATGTAGAACAACTACCTTGGATTTCAAGGTTATATTTTGATATAGTTAAACAAAACTTTTTTGTTTTTGTTTAATAGTTTGCCTCTTGACTGCGTTTTATTTTATTTTAAATAAAATGTACTATTTAAGACAATAAAATAAATACGCAAAATTCATTTGTGAATGGAAAAGACATTTTTAAAAAAAATTGGTTGTTATAAGGTTCTAAGGATAAGCCAGTATTATTATGAAAAATTGTTCAGACGAAATGTTCCGTTTCCTGTCAAAAATAAAATATTTTCCGAAAATTCCAAGAACGCTTACGTAAAGACTCTTTCCTGGTAAATTAACTGCAATTTCTTTAACCAGTAAGTATACTCAATGGAAAAAATCAGGAAAACCGGTACAGCAGTAATAACAGGTCTAGTACCACATTTGTTTATAAATACTTATAGTATGTATAGACATGAAATAATTTTAAACTGGTAGATTCAAACTTTTCTTTACTTATAGACAATATACAGAGTGACTACTGACTACACTTCTAAACCTGGATTTTTCAAAATATCAAATTGCAATTACAATTTAATTTTTTTTAATGAACGGTTAATTTATTAATATACTAGATTGCAATATTACCTAATAATATGATTTTTACAAAATTTGTTTGGACAACATAAGTTGTGTCAACATTACTATGATAGCAACAGAATTATCAAATGCAAACAATCGCTTGAATCAACAACAATATTCCATTAAGAGAAAGTTAAAAGCCTCTTAGCATTAAGTTATTAAATATTTATAATTTTATTTTTCTTGTTTTAGGCATGATCATATCTATGCCGTTTTTACTAGCGACGTTCTTGGTCTACGCAATCTTACCCGAGTCAAATCTTCATAGGAAAGCTTTGATGAACTATGTCCTGACGCTATTCCTTGCCTACATATTCCTGGTAATTGTACAACTTTATCCTGGGAAGTTCGATGAAAACTTTGTATGTCCTGCGTTAGGTAAGGATATTATTATTGCTTTGAAGACAACATGCTAATTTTTTATTTTCCTATTATAATTAATATATGATTTTCAGGATATTTGATAATATTTTTCTTCTTGATATCATTCTTTTGGATGAACGTTATGTGTTTGGATATGTGGTTTGCTTTTAGGTGAGTAATCAATTCTGTTCTATTTTTCTTGTTTTATTATCTGTATTCTATTTGTCTTATCCACGAATTTTATTCAGAAGATTCATTTATTCCAGTTTATTCCAAATTACGTTTTTTTAGGGGTATGAGAGGATTTAATGGTAGAAGACTTGCAGAGAAAAAAAGATTTTTAATGTATTTCGCCTATGCTGTAGGTGTTCCATCTTTGCACATTCTGGTTGTCTTTTTAATAAACAAATTCGGCAACAATGAATCGGATTATTTCCCAGGAATTGGATATGAAAAATGTTTCTTGAGAGGTAAAAAATACAAGTGTATATTTTAAATTTATAACTGCTTTGTTTACATATGAATAGAATTATAACAACAATAACTAAAGAAAAAACAAAACAAACAAAAAATAATTCAAATTGAATTGATAAGAATTAACTTTACAAGCTACTAAAATTTTCTACCTTTATCAAACCCTTTTGAATGAAGTATTAGTCACATCCCTTACAATACAATTCTTCCACCAAGATATGCCAAGAGACCTTTTAAACTTTTTTTTTCTATTCATATAAAAACATGAGAATTTAACCACAAATATACACCTATTTCTGGACACACGTTTGGCTAAAAATTGTAATAATTATAATAATAATAATAATAATAATAATAATAATTATTATTATTATTATTCAACCATTTTCACAGCATTGCGGTAAAAATTATTTTAACATAATTTACTTAATCAATACATTATATACCGTTATTTCAGATGGTTTACCAAATTTGTTGTACTTCTATGGACCTATGGCGATTCTGATTACTGTAAATGTCACATTATTCATTTTGACCGCTGTAAAGATCCAAAGAGTTAAAAAGGAAACTTCTATGCTGAAACAATCCGACAGCAAGCGGCATTCTTATGAAGATGACAAACAAAAGTAAGTGTTAATCATTTTTTATTATTTAATTTTAATGTAATATCATACAACTCGGAACATGGGTATACAGGATGGTCCCGAGGCAATGGGCCAAAATTCATAGGTAGAAGCAAAAGTTTCGAAGCAAAAATATTGCGATTTAGCCGAACTTACCTTAATCAAAAAGTTGATAGTTAATTAGATTGTTAAATGTAAATATAATAAATATTGACACAAAATTTTGGGGTTTGGGGTGCTTTGGGTAGACGAATTGAAATTTGTTTACATTTTGATTATAGTTCAAAGAGGGCGCTAGCTTTAACTATCAACTTTTGGACCAAGGTAAGTTCGGATAAATCGCAATATTTTTGCTTGGGGAATCTACCTCGACCCATTACCTCCGGCCCACCCTGTATTTTCATTGGTTATTCTTCATTTTAAAATTAAAATTAATTTTAAGCGTATGATCCTCAAAAAATTATTTTCAAAGAATTGCAATCCTTCAGATCGGGTAGTTTATTTGTTCAATTGGTCTTCACCATTGGAATTAACAGAGAAATAGTAGTTTTATTAAATAAAAAATTATTAAACACAAGTAACCTTTCTTGCTATATGTGGTTTTTAATCCATTTTGTAACTTAATCTAAAAAACAGGAATTTCCCACGTATAGATTGCAATTGCAAATGTTAATTCTCGTTGCACGATTGACGTATTTTCCCAGTTTATTTTTCTAAGCGCGTCGTTCGTTTTGATCAAAACCTTCCTCAGTCAGAAGCTATATCAATTCGTTGCAATTCATTTTAGCTCCCCTACAATTTTACACCAATATATTAATAGATCATCTTACTAACCAAAAACTTTTTAAGTATTACCGAGCATGTAAATAAGAAGACGAATACTTTGTATAGGTTCAACCTGTATGTGAAGTTGCTGTTCGCTATGGGCATTAACTGGACCATGGAAGTAATATCGTGGGCAATTGAATGGCGCACGAAGGATATTCCTTCGTATATCTGGTATTTAACAGATTTCTGCAATGCAATGTACGGCGTATTCATTTTCTTCATATTTGTCTTCAAGAAGAAGATCTGGCGGTCCCTTAAGAAAAGGTAAGAAAATTGTAACTGCAATTTTTAACCCAAGATGTAGAAGCAAGCATAAAACTCCCGGATCTGTTTTGAGATGGATGTAAGAGGGGGCAAACAAATTTTTGCTGCAATACTTTCAGTACAACTCACATAATAAAAGTGTAGATCCCTAGATCTGCGAGGTCCGGAACATTTTCAAAATTGCAAAAACGTTTAAAAAATTTACTTATATCTTGGAATCTATGCATTTTGCAAGAATATTGAAGAGGAAAAAAGTCTTAGAATTAAATTTTGCACAATATAAAATTTGGTATACTGTTTATTATTCATCGATTATATAAATCTACAGTATCTTCCTAGAGAATTTTATAAATGTGACTTTTTTATATGCAAATTCTCGGAACTTTTGGGTAGTACCTCGTACATTCTTTGACCAAACGAAGTGAATTTTCGTTTTTACTTGCCATACACATACGTTTTTTTTAATAAATGCTGCTACCCTTTGCACTATTTTCAAATATTAAACAAAAACATTGTAAAAGAATTTTTTACGGGATACCAAAATAAAAAAAAATATTGACGAAAATTACATTAACATATATCCGATTTCTAGATGCGTTTGGAAAATATCAACAGATACTATCACGACAGGAGTTTCGACACCTCACTTGAGTAGTAGTAATAAAATTTCATAGGTCACAATTTCCTATGAAGCAGTTCAAAGCAGTAAGTCAAAATATAAACAAAGTCGGTTACTCTGGTACTTACTGCACTGCCCTGGCTGTGGGTTTGATATCACTGGTTACTAATTTTACATATACTTGCTTCATATATAACGTACATATACATTTAAACGGTTGTGGTTGTAAATAACAAATTATTTGAAAAGAAAAATATTGCAAAACCAAAATTTAAGGAAATATCATTCAGATTATTATCGACATTTATTTCAAACTTTCAGTGTTGTCTAACTCATTTGCAATATTTTTTTTACCGATGAACTGAAAATTTCTGCATCCAATTTTGTGTATTTAATTAGAATGTTTATGAATTGCCAATATCTATTACCAATGATGGGCTCTGAGATTTGCTTTTTAAGTATGCTCCCTTTCTCCAAAAGATACTAACAATTTCGGCACTATTTCATACTTATAGTCTCCAATACGACATAATAGACGTCAAAAGAACAATATTTTGAAGTTACAAATATTTTTTGCCACATTTCTTTTTCAGAGCAAATATCTTGTATTCAAAATTCAAGGTATATGTTTCCGAATTAATACCATCAAAATTTTTTGTTTTTGAAGTGAAATCGTACTGTTTGACGACGTTAAGTAAAGAAATTTGCCATTAAATGACAGTATCCGATACGTATCTACTACTTTCTCGGGTCAAAAAAAACCAAACCATTTCTTTCTAAAGTTCCCACCAGGCCCCAAAGGGACTTACAGATTTACATTTTCTGTTGTAATTTTAAAATCATCCTGTATAATTTGATAAAATTTTAAATGGGGTATTTAACAAATAAGTTTTCACGATTTGATATTATGTTTAGATATTCTGGACACTTTCCTTTAATAAAGGTGCTCTTTTTATTTATTTCGATAAAATAGATGATTTTCGAGATAAATGGGATTTTGTAATAGTAAACAATAATTAGTACAAGGACAGCAACAATTACTGTTCATTTTTTTTACAAATTGTTCATTCTATTTACTTTATTGTACTTTGCCAAGTTAAAAAATCTTTAGAAATAGTTTAAGGGAAACAAGATAAAGATTAAAAATAAAAATTTATTAGACAAATGAGTTATGTAGAACTATAATGCGTCACCTCATTTTGAGGATCAAAGAGCCTGTTTTATGGACACCTTGAACGCTCAACCTAACTCCATTGGTCTTTTTTCTGTGGCGTCATCCAAAAGAACTAATTTTTTGCCGAAAATACAACTGTAATCAGATTCATAAACGTAAAAATACTGTTCCCTGTGCATGGGGAAAACACTCGCAGAATAAAAAAGTACGGGGAGCTGATTTTCAACACTTGTCAAAGTGATATTTACCCTGTTCCAATTTTTAACTATTATGTAAATACTTATTTTTAATCTTTAACTTGCTTTTGTTGTACTATGTTATAACCAACCCTTTCAAAGGTTTTTGGACTTGGCAAAGTTAAATAAACTAAATAGATACGTAATGATTTATATAAGAATAAACTCCAGTTATTGTGGTACATTTCAAATACCGATTTATCTTGAAACTCGTTTTATGAAAATAAATCAAGGGTATCTTCTTAAAAAGAAGTCTTCAAAGAATCTAAAAATAGTATTTTTTGACTGCATGGACATGTCAAAATTTAAAAAGTTTTTAAGCTAATTAATTTCTGGCTATCTTGTAATAGTTATAGCTTGGTTTTGACCACCAATTATGAAGCCTTATTTGTAATGTACAATACGAGAATTAAAATTTCATTGAACCCAAAACGCAAATGTTAAGGTACATTTAGGTTCTATCCGATAACTCCTCTAGATGCCTCAATGGAAAAAAGACCTTATTCATACGCTACCGAGAGATTAGTAGACACTTCCGGACACTCTGAATACGCTGCAAGTAAACAATACAATAAACCCATTTCAGCTGGAATGATTATATCAATACTGTTACAACTACGGGTGCTGGTTTCCTAGATATAATCTGCATCTAAACCCACTTTGTACTTGCATGTAAAAACTGTAAGAGGAACCCCCGTTAACGCGTTTTGTTGCGTTTCAGGTACTACGTATTCATTGGAAAACCTCACTTTGCTCACTCAGTGAGTGTGACCCAAACAACTCGGTCCAGCAACTACTCCACCACGGAAACTGGCCTCAACGACCACCGCTTAAGTGAACTCAACAACGGAAGAGGGGAGGAAAGAATGTTGCATCAAAATTAAAATGTGTTTTACTCGGTGATAGCAAGGTGCCATAGTCTATTTAAATTTCTCCGCTTTATGTTTTATTAGACACAACACGAGTTCCAACAATGTTGTAACATTCTTTAACGTTAAAACAATGAGGTTTTTTATTTATCATAAAGTAGAACACGTAGTGATTTTGTACTTAAATAAAAGAGTGATATTAATTAATTCCTTTTAAAACAAAGTTTTATATTGCCATAGTCATTTGTTTCGTTAAAGTTAAAACCATAATTAGTTTCACTTGCTTGTATTTTTCATATTAGCTTTAAACGACTATATTTGTACCTGTAAGTTTTAATTTTATGTTTACTTAGTCTCTTATCTTAGTCATAGAGAGCTTTCATAAATGATTATAAGCCACGTGGTCAATAATTATGTTTGGAACATTAACTGTATTTCCTTCATATGGACTATTAATATATTTCAGTTACGTGACAGGTTATCATTGTTCATTGTAAACGAGTCATTAATATTGGTGACTGTAAGATTTAAAGAATTTTTGTTTCCAGTTCCAATCATGCATTGTTGGGTTGTAAACATTGCTGAAGGCCCTGTATAGTGTTACATTACCATGGCAATGGGAAATCCATGTTTTAAATAAATCTGATTAAAACATAGATTGTTGTTTCATTCGACATAAATGTATGTAAGTGTGAAGTAGGAACTAAAAATAACCAGTTGGATTATAGAAGAGAAAGGAAATGTGACCCTTGGTTGTAGATATATGTTAGTGTTTATATTCATGTATTTTTTTTTTTTTCTTTTTTTTCTATAGATTTCCCATTGTCAAAATAATGTTATGAATAGGTGAGTGAAAGAATATTAAAAGTTTCACTCAATGGTTGAAGTTAGTTTTAAATAAGTGTACTTAAAATATAACTTAACTTTCTAGATATATAAATATATTCCCACGGAACTTAGCTTTGCACCTTTAAGGAATGCTGTTCTATTTTCATTGTGTCACATTCCTTACTCACAATGTTTTAAAATACATGTTCCTCCGTTATAAAGAATCAGGGACCATTTGAGAAAGAAATGATTGGATTAATTTGTTCTAAACTAAAATTGATTAAAATATCTTCCGGATTTTTTCTTGATCATAGACTCTTACGCAGGATGTAGTAGCCATATGGCAACAACCTTCAAGGCTGATTTTTCTCTCATCAAAATAAGCAGGAGAACCTAACAAATTGCTAAGGGTTTTACAATCATTCAAATATTGGACGAAACTACACTTTTAGATTAAAACTGAAGAGCTATTGAATATATGTACTTCAATCTTGGTAGTTCAGTTTCTTCATAGTAGCTATTTATATGCAATGTCACCAAATGCTAATTAGCAGGATTGCAGAAACTTCTGGTGCCAAAAAAGAAGTCATTTGGCGTCCAAAAGAATTTTGTTTTACAGATTTGCATAGACCATTCACAAATAAAGCTTTTAGACACAAGTGTATTAAATAGGAAGACTTAATAGACACAAAAAATGTATTTTATTTAGTAATTACGATATTATTGGCTAGTATTTGATCAAAACTTAAATGCTACAGGAGAGAGAGAGCTACTAAGAAGAAACTGAATTGTACCAAATTCGAAGGCTATCATCAATTGTTCATGATTGATCAAAAACTGTTTTTCACGTCACATCATTACTCCTGTTCTCTTTACTCGTTTTAATGAGAAAAATCAAACAATAATTGTAATTTCCTCACAACGTCCCTATTACATCCGTTCAAAATCCTTGAAAAAATCATAACATATCTACCCTCACCATACCCTGTGGTGCATAAATGTTTTAACTTAAAATTTGTAGTATTTATTAATTAACAAGTACCTATATGTCATATATATTACAAAACATTTATTACGTTTTGTAATACCTAACCATAAATGTTCTATATTAGTGTTAGTATGTTAGCATACTTTGAAACTTATTGATTTTAAATGCGCATGTACTTATCTGTTTTGTGTATAAGTTTATATTTAGCATGAGTACAATTATAGTATGTAGACAGTTCTGATTCAGTAGAAAATGCACTGTCTGTTAGTTCAAAACAATGGAGCTTGCGTGCAAGTCATTCTAGTCAACAAACGAAGTATGTAAAAACCAGTACATATTAAACGAATATTTTATAAGGCTTTTCGAAAACCAAATTTCAGCATATTTTTGGACTAAAATATTTTGAATAAATGTCATTCTCGGTTGCCCAATTATTTCAGGCATTGGCACCGCTGTCGACTCCATTCCTTGTCGTTACTTTATTTGGAAAATGTTTGAAGAAATAACAAGAAACCATTTATAACAAATACCAATAATACGTGACAACAATGATTGGTTCTTCTTCATAAATGAATGATAGATTCCCTTTGATTGTTAGTAATAAAAAAATAGTTCATAAATTGAATAAATCGGTTTGATAATAATCCTGTGTCACTAAATAGTAATAATTAAAATGGACCAAATTCCATAAAATATTATAAAAATAAGATTAATATTGGATTAGATAAATATCGTAATAATATTTTTTTATATTATTTATAATGGATGTTTTCGTTTACTGTTTCAGTATCTTTACTAACTCAGTATACTTTATCTAATATATGATTGTGTTATACAGAAAATCCAGAAATTACATTGGTAGAGTAAAACAAAGCTAATAAATTGATAAATATCTATTCAGTCAACATTTTTGTGCAGGATAGATATATAAGTATTAAAATTGTAACTAATATATCACACCTAAAGCATAACATGACAAATTACATTTTTGTGCATAGTCTTGCCAGTTTTAAATGTGAATATGTATTAAGCTTTTAATAGATTTTCATATATATAGGTAATAGTGTTTTATCTATGCTAAAAGCTTTTCCTGTTATTAGCTCTTTATATGTGTTTATACATATATGTAATGAAATATATTACAAACATTGAAATAAATGTGTACAAAATCTACTTAGTTATATTTTATAATCATGCTCCATTTCTTTAATTCATATACCTATATTACCAGTATCTGTTTATAAAATTCTTATTGTTTTTACATTTTTATCTCCTTCGTTTAATAATTTAGTGCTCTCTCTGATCTAAATAATCAGTTTTTTAGGGTTTTGCAATTTGATGAACAATCTGATATAAAATTTGTAAAATGAGGTGGTAGATTTTTTTCACTTTTAGTAAAGTTAGGAGAAATTGAAGAAAAATTGAGCTTCGTCGATTACAGCGCCATCTATTATGAATCGAAAAAAAAAAATTCAGACAAATCCTACGTATACTTTTAGCCGTAGAATCCGAGTCTATAATAAAAAATGGGGGTTCCTATTTAAGAACTTTAGCACTAATATATTAATGATTAAATTTTGATTTTGGATAATTTTTTCGTAGAGTACCTACAAGGTTTCAAGTTAAAAAAAATCACCCGTTATAATTAGATACATACTTATAAAAGTTATTATTGAAGCGTTTAGGAGAGATTAAAATTTGAGCTGGATGACTCGGATTACAAGCATACATAAACAGTAGCACTTTCTGATACGCAGATTAGTTATCTGAATTCTTGTATATGTGAATTCGCAATCTTTAAAAGTTCCGGAACAATCCGGAAATTTATTGCCTGTATTGTGTCGAATCGCATATGTATAATGTATCACATTTATGATTCTGAGGATTCGCTGTTGTAACGTTATAAGTAGGTACCTACTTTACATTTTCTTATAAACAACCGTAAACAGTTCTTGAAAAACTGCTGCTTTTTTTAATGTGACATTTCCGTACAGCAGCCGAAGACCAGTTTGTGATATTCGGATCCACTTATATGAATATTTTATTATTTAATACCAGCATCATGGTTACAATAGAGCTGTAAATATGAAAGTACTGTTAGTGTTGAGTTTTGCGGTTTTAAATATCGCGAGTGATAATAGTGCTGAGGAAGACGTAATAAACATGTGCAGTAATTCTTCCAGCTATGAAAGTTACACGAAGAACATCACACAAAACTGTGGCTGTGAAAAGAACAGACCGTGCATCAGGAAGTGCTGCCAGAAAGGTTTTTATTTACAACACTACGAAGATGCGTTCGAGAACGTGTTCGAGAGCGTTTGTATCAAGAAGGAATCTCATTCCTTCAACTTGCCCATATATACCAGACGCGAAAATATTTATAATTTGACCCTAGAGGATAATTTCATGATTGGTATGCTGAACTGTGAGAACGACGATTGGCAGTATTTCAAAATGAACAACAGTGACATAAGAGAAAGGGTATATATACAGGAGAATGGCAGTTTGTATTATCCTGCTTCCCGATATAAAATCTACGACAGCAGCAGGTATTGTGTTGATGAAGAGGATGGTCTGACGATTATTTTGTGTTACACGAGCACACAACCGAGCGTATGTGCCTTGAGAATAGTTAACTCTGTAGGTAATAACTTTCAGCTTTTATTTCCATGTCTCATTCCGAAAATAAATTTGATAACATAGACATGTTTTTATCTACTCAATATGAAACATTTCTTTTATTTTTGTAAATTTATAGAAACCATTTTTTAATTGACCATTTTGTCTCAAAAAATTAGATGCCAATCAGATACAAAGCTGAAATATATAAATTCAAAGTACTTGCACATCCGCATGGATTTACCTTAATTATTTAGATTTTTCAAATCGATAATTTTCCCATTTTAACATACGCAACTAATTCCAATGAATAATTATATCACTTCTTTTACAAGAATCGGATGTTTGTATTATTTCAAGAATATTAATAAGAGCCTTTAAAGGGATATTCCTTACGATATGACCATTTACAGCAATCACTTAAAAAGAAATATACTGTCTGCATGCATGGGACAATATGAAGAATAGGTGTTCTGCTTACGTAAGATACAAGATCTTGATTGCAAGTATTATTAGATGCATTTATTGCTTGAAGATTCCAGATGCCTGCTATTGAAAACGAACGAATCGAGTATATTTAAAATACACACAAAAAAAACTGTTGCCCATTAAAAAGCAGACTTAATTCTACATCCACTAATCAATTACATTACTATGAAAATATAAATATTTCTTAAATTATTATTATTGATAAGAAATTTGAATAATTTTTATGGCTACCTATAATTTTTCATAAAATTTCTTTAAAATTGTACGACTATGGTTCGAGATAATTGCGATTTTGTTAATGTTGAATCATTCAATCAACATTTACAGTTATCCATAACACATTCAAGAAGTTACGTTATACGCAAAAATAGTCCATTGTTTTACATAACTTTGTTATAACTCCTACTTCTTTGATTGCATACCATATTCTATGTTCGGAAATATTAGCTGCTAACTCTGGCTGCAGCCTTCATACCGGTCATATTTATAATTTTATTTCTCTTGTTTTAGGCAGGATTATATCTATACCATTTTTGCTAATATCATTCTTAGTGTTTGCAATTATACCCGAGTCAAGTCTTCATAAGAAAGCTCTAATGAGTTATGTCTTGACGTTATTCCTTGCCTATACATTTCTGCTAATAGTACAACTTTATCCTGAGAAGTTCGATGAAAACTTTGTATGTCCTGCGCTAGGTAAGAACATTATTATAATTGCTTGAACTGCTTTAATAACCATGTCGTATCAATTAGGTATACTTGTCCATTGAAATTTAGTAGGTATACTAGGGCGTTGCATAAGTGTGTACAAAAAAATCAGGACTGCAATCCTTGGAAAATTTTAAATGGGGGTTTTTCATTAAACTTGGAAAAGGAAATACGTAATCATGTATAATTTAAAATAATTTTAGTAGAAATTAAATTGACTTCAAAAGTTATTCAAAAATAGCCTCCGTTTTGAAGGAGCATTCATTCACTCTTTTCATGAAATTGAAATGTACACTTCTTGACTTCTCCAAAAAAAAAAAAATTTTTTTCTCAAAAATAAAATTTTTCTAAATAAAGATATCTTAAAATATTATTCTGCTTAATAAATTATTTACCCCCTTAGCAAACCAGGAAACTGGAAAATATGCCAGTAAAACATGATTTTATTAGTACCATAATTATTTCAAATTTTGTTTGCTTATTTTCAACAGTTTTTGAGAAAAATTTTTGAGGGGAGGCTCCAATTAAAAAAGTTTGTATAGAAGAGCCCCCTTTAAAATATTCCAAGGAATGAAGTCATGAATTTTTTGTACACACTTATGCAACACCATGTATATTTTGATATATTATTGATATATTATGAAGTATATTCAATTTTTTTGTGAAATTTTAATTACTGTTAACGTAACATTAACGTAATAGCTACTCTCAGTTATCAATATTGCGTTAAATATATTAATTGTTTAATTCATTATTAATTATAATTATTACATTACTACAGTTAATATACAGTGTGACCTATTTGAAACCGGGTCACCATCATAAAAAATGTATTTACTTGACGATTTTAAACAACTTTTTTTTAGATTATGTAACCCATGAAATAGAAAGTAAATACGACATTATAAGAAAACGTTTATAATGTAACACACAACCTCAGTCCTGTCAAACTGAAGTTAGTTGGCAGTATAAGTAAAAAGATATAACAGTATTACAGAACCAATCAGAGCAGTCGTAGCAAATTCATATTGGAAAATTACATTACAAAAGATATAAAAATACATCAAATCAAATTTTCAATTGAAAATATATGTTTTAAATATCGTATAAGTCTACTTCATTATTAAAATAAACTATATTTTCTGGATTTCTGGATTTTATATTTTATATTTTGATTGCTCTATTTTATGTAGTACTTATATTTTTATATTTAATGTTAGTTTGTTTTCTTTTCTTTTTAGATTTAGTTAAGGTTTTCTGTTTTACCTTATCCTATAATTGGGACTTTGTCCCGTTAGATATTGTAATGTCTAAGGGAAATTGAAAACATTCATAACAATCTTTCAAAATATAAGGAGAAATACCATCTGTTCCATATGCCGGTTTTAATTTCATTATGAATTCATTATAATCAGCTTCACTTATACAGGGTGAGTTTTTTTCGATGTTTAGTGTAGGTAAAGTAGCAAAGATACAAAAAAGCTTAAATGAGGAAAGATGTGCAGTTTTATGATCCTTATTAAATGTTACTTTTATTATTTAAATAAACGTCATGGCTGACTAAATATTTGGAAAAATTCGAATTCGACCAATTTCTTCAGATGCCTGTAACTCCGTTGCTATTTATTTTACAAAAAAAAAAATTAAATTACAAAGTTTCAGGTTTTTGCAGTGTTAATAAGATAATGTGATCAAATTGTTCTCGTACACTTTCGTTTTCAAGTTATAACATAAACTTCAAGTTTTTTAAATGTAAACCATAGTTAGGCTATGGGCTAGAAAAAATTGTCTTTTTTTATGCTTTCCAACGATATAATATTCGGTACTGTTGTTTTGAAAAATGGGAAAACTGCAACTGTTTTTAACTTTTCAGTTGTTCGCTGACGTAGATGGCTGTGAAAACAATCGAAATGTTTACTCACAACGCTTTTAGTTACTGTAGCATTATTTGACAGTTACTTTTCTTTCTTAAAATTTGTTTCAATTGCCAAGACAATGAATTTGTCAAACAAGGAAAAACGTAATATTATTGAGTGTTATATTCGTTCAGGAAACTTTTGATAATGTTGATACGCGTTCTGTGAGAAAAACCTCTAATTCTGTTTCAAAAAGATCTTGTGCATTAATAATAACGGTGGGGTTTTTGAACAATTTCTTTAATATTTTTAAAGTAAATAATGGTTTGTTCATAAAATTCTGATATTTTTTGCGTCTTTGTTAAGTATTTCATTTACTTACCACAAACGATTTCCATCATTATGAATTAAATTCTTTATTCTTTACTTATTATTATTGTTTTATTTAAAATGTACCAGTCGCACACTGACTGCTCCGGTGCTCTGACACATACAGAGGTGCACCCTTGATGCCGACTTCAATTGTTTTGATTCTATTTGTTGGATTGCGTATAATTTTCACAGCCATCTACGTCAACGAGCAATTGAAAACTTAAAAACGGCTGCAGTTATCTCATTTTTTAAAATAACAATACCGAATATTATATCGTTGGAAAGTTTAAAAAAACATTTTTTTTCTAGTTCATAGCTAACTATAGTTTACTTTTAAAGAACTTGAAATTTACGCTGTAACTTGAAAACGAAAGTGTACAGGAACAATTTGATCACACTGTCTTATTAACACTGCAAAAGCCTGAAACTTTGTAATTCAATTTTTTTTTTGTAAAATAAATAGAAACGGAGCTACACGCATCTGAAGGAATTGGCCGAATTCGGATTTTTCCAAATATTTAGTCAGCCATGACGTTTATTTAAATAATAAAAGTAACATTTAATAAGGATCATAAAACTGCACATCTTTCCTCATTCAAACTTTTTTGTATCTCTGCTACTTTCCCAGATTCCTACACTAAACATCGAAAAAAACTCACCCTGTATATCCATAAATCAATTGTAGAGGAGTTTCAAAATCAACCGACAAAAAGTATTTATCAAATGCATCAGAATGTCGTTAGCTGATATATTATTTTTGTCGCTGTCATAATGAATTGAAATATTGTCAGGTGGTGATTTTTTCTGTTGTATGTAATTAAAGAAAATTCATTTCGCTATGTATCAGATAAATAAAATTAATATACGATTTTTAGGATATTTTATAATATTTTTCTTCTTATCATCATTCTGTTGGATGAACGCTATGTGTCTTGATATGTGGTTTGCTTTTAGGTGAGTAATCAATTCTGTACTAAAAAAATAAGTCTATTTTGCTTCCATTATTTAGACAGAATATATTTTTTAGTTTCTATTGGTATGTAGGTAATATGTAATCCATATGATCATAAAACAAATTTCTTGTTTTATTATTTGTATTTAATCTGGCTTCTCTACGAACTTTATTAAGAACAAAAATATAAATTATTTAGGAAGTGGTATAAAAGAGATCCTTATATTTGGAAATCTGTAAATTGTGTGTTTTTTTTCAGAGATATGAGAGACATTACTGGCAGAAAGCTTACAGAGAGAAAAAGATTTTTAATGTATTTCGCCTATGCTGTAGTTGTCCCATTTTTGCATATTCTAGTTGTATTTTTAATAAACAAATTCGGCGAAAAAGGATCAGTTTATTTTCCAGGAATTGGTTATGGAAAATGTTTCGTGGGAGGTAAAAAAATACACATGTACATTATTTTAATAATAACTGCTTTATTTGCAAATGAAGTTAATTGTAGCAGTAAACGAAACATAAAAATAATTGAAACTGAATTAATGGGAATTAGTTACTTTGCAAGCTACTAACATTTCCTACCACCTTTATCAAACCCTTTTAAATGATGTATTACTTAACATTTTCCACAATAGAATTATTCCAATAAGATAATATGCCTTGATGAAATCAATACTATAGGCTTGGCTGAGCATTCTGTTTTTCTCTTCATATAAAAACACAATGAGAATTTTACAGCCACCGTATATAAAAAAATGTCAATTAATTTTTAGGAAATAGTTTATAATGACACCAATTTGTGGACGCATATTTAACTAAATATAGTAATTAATACATTTATATTTTGAAGAATAATAGTAGTAATTATTATTTTATCATAATTTACTGTTATTTCAGATGGTTTACCAGATTTGTTGTACTTCTATGGGCCGATGGCGATTCTGATTATTGTAAATGTCACTTTATTCATTTTGACCGCTGTAAAGATCCAAAGAATTAAGAAGGAGACTTCCATGCTGAAACAATCCGATAGCAAGAGGCACTCTTATGAAGATGACAAAAAGAAGTACGTGTTAATAATTTTTTGTTATTTAAATGCATGTAAATAAAAACACCAATACTTTATATAGATTTAACCTGCATGTGAAGTTGCTATTCGCCATGGGTATTACCTGGACTGTGGATATAATAGCATGGGCTATTAAGTGGCCAGGTGGTTGCGAGTCTGACTGGTGTCTTTTGCATTTCTGCAATGCTATATACGGCATATTCATTTTCTTCATATTCGTCTTCAAGAAGAAGATCTTGCAGTCCCTTAAAAAACGGTAAGAAAATTGTTCGTAACTGCCATTTTTAGTTAGTTTCTGTTTTCCCACGATCTTACAAAAATACGATTAGGACGATTAAATTTTGGTTGGTATGTTCTAACTTTCTAAATTTCTCCATAATTATGACTATCGAGCTAAAGATATTATTTTTAGATATTCTGAACACTTCCCTTTAATAAAAGTACCCTTGATTTATTTCGATAAAATGGATAGTTTTCCATATAAATCGGATTTTGTAACTATAACAAAAGTAATTAGTGCCTACAAATTTCTGTTTAATTTTTTACAAATTGTTGATTGTATTTACTTTATTTAACTTTACAAAGTTCAGAAACCTTTACAAAAAGCTTTAGGAAAACAAGATAAAGATAAAAAATTGAAATTTACTAGACAAATGAGTTATTTAGTACGATTATGCATCATGTCATTTTAAACATTGTTTTATGGACACTTTATTACACTTTTCGCTGTGGCCTCATCCAAAAGAACTCATTTATTTATTATGCGTAAATACTAGAAAATAACTTTTGGCGAAAATAACACAGAACTGTAATGAGATTCATAACTATCCTGAAATGTTATTTCTTGTGGAAAATTCTCTCGGAATAAAAAGAGTACAGGGAACTGATTTCAACACTTATCAAAATAATGTTGTATCTTTCTCCCATGTTTAATTATTATGTAAATCTTAATCATTAGTTTAATTCCCTTAAACCATGTTATAAACTATGTTATAACCAACCCTTTCACAGACAAAGTTAAATTAACAACATACATGAAACGATTTATAAAAAAAAACTACAGTTGTCGTTATTTCAAAAACCGATTTACCAGGAAAACAACGTATTTTATTGAAATAAAATGAAGGCTACCTTCTTAAAAAGAAGTCTTCAACAAACAGAGAACGGTTCTAGGACGGTTGAAATTACTAACAATACAATTGGGTAAATATCAGAACTGTTGTAGGACTGTCAGCTGACAGAACCAAAAGAAGCCTAATTTGGATATGTCAAAGTGTTGAAACTAGTTCATTTCTGGATATCTTGTAATAGTTACAGCTTGGTTTTAAAGTCAAATCATGAAGCTTTATCGGTAATATACAATAAAGAAATTCAGATTTCAAAGTTACAACCCAAAACGAACATTTTTAGGTACTCTCTTGGACTGTCCGACAACTCCGTTGTCCGAAATTGGAAAAACAGTCCTAGTGTTATTTTGATATTAGCTATACGCCCTCAAGAGATTAGTAGTTATGTTGAAACACCCTCAATATTCTCCAAGTCAATAATTTATTGTAATAAAGCCATTTCAATTGGAATTATTCAATCAATACGGCTACAATTGCAGGTGTTGGTTTCGTAGATATAATCTGCATCTAAGCCCACTTACTTGCATGTAAAAACAGTAAGAGGAATCACCTTTTGCGCGTTTGATTGCGTTTCAGGTACTACGAATTAATTGGAAAAAATCCCAAACAACTCGGTCCAGTAACTACTCCCCCACGAAAATTGGCCTCAGCGACCACTGTTCAAGTGAATTCAACAACGGAAGATGAAAGGAAAGAATGTTGCATCAAAATTAAATTGTGTTTTACTTAGTGATAACAAGGTGTCATAGTTTATTTAAATTTTCCTCTTTATGTTTTATTAGACATTTTTACTTATCACAAAGTACAACAATTAATGATTTTGTACTCAAATAAACAGTAATATTAATTGATTTCTTCTGAAATAAAGTTTTATATTGCCATAGTAATGTTTTAAGTTAAAGTTAAAAGCATAATAATTACTTTCTCTTGTTTATATTTTTTCATATTAGCTTTAAACCATTATACATATTTGTATCTGTGTTTTATTTTTACCATTATTTAGTTTCACATCATCGTAATATATTGTTACATTACCATGGCAATGGGAACCCTAGTTTTAAATAAATCTGAATAATAATCTAATAAGTTTGTTTCACTCAAAATAAATATATGCAGTGTGAAGCAGTAAATAAATATAACTAATTGTATTATACGTAAAAAAAGAAATGTGACTCTTGGTTGTAGATATATTTTAGTACTCATTTTTATGTAATTTGTTTCATTTTTCTTTTCTCTTGATCTATAGATTTCCCGTTGTCAAAATAATATCATGAGCAAGCGACTGAAAAAATGTCCTTATTCATATAGTTTTAAATTACATCACATATTCCTCAGTTATAAAGAATCAGAGACCATTTGAAAAAGAAATGATTGGACTGATGTGTCCTAAACTAAAATTGATTAAAATATCTTCCAGATTGCTTTGGGATTTCTGTCGATTTCTTAAAAATAGACTATAAAGATATAACAGGCACATGGTAACAAACCCTCAGGACTCTTTCCAAAATAAAAACAAAAACTTAAAGAATTCCTAAGGGGTCTACGATCATTCAAATATTGGACGAAACTACATTTTTAAATTAAAACAAATAGAAGAAATCTTGTAAATTCTTGGAAGGAAGAATAACTTATTATAAAATGTGGTGCATCAATCTGTTTTAGACAAAAGATTGTCATATGTTATCCACTTCAATGGCAGCATTAAATGCATTCTCCTTCATAGATAACAGGTATATGTTATCAGGTCATTCTTTGTTTACTTTATCTTCCACAGCCGTATGACAAGAACTACATGGAGATAAAATAGTATAGTAATTCTTTAATATTTAAGATCTTGGTCTTTACAATTTTTTTTTCTAAATAGAAAGATAAAAAAGATAAAGGGGTAGAATGTTACGTAAATGATCTTGTACCTATATGTGATATATCAAATTATAAAAAGAGTCCATACTAATTTCTAGCTTTACAGGAAGTCCTAGGCTTTCCTGTTAAATAAAGCCGTTTGTATAAGATAACAGACATTTTCAGAAAAACCTGTTAGTCCTGGAAGGAATCATTAAACCGCTATTCAGATATGATTTATCTTTATTTATTGACAAAAATTTATAATTCTTGCACGTAAGCATTCTTACAACAACTAGAATAATTTGTATCATCATAATAATTAATATGTCAATACGATAACAGCTCTCAGTTAATGAAAACAATGCAACTGACCAGCATAAAATCAGTCAATTATATAAAATTTCCATTGCGTATATGATACGACAACGTTGACGTTCACTAGATTCCGCAGGATAAAGTAAAGTGATATCTAATTTTTATCTTAGCGGTTAACAATAAAATCCACTTCCATTTCAATCCACTTCCATTTAAAAAACGTAGGAAATAGTCCGCTTGAGTCATTCTCGTTTTCAAAATGGTTTATTGTGCTCTATATTTATTAACTTTTTTGGTTACCGCCGTTTTTTCCCAACAAGATCGTCCGTGTTATCAACACTTAACTGAAGACATCACAAACGGACAGCGTTTACCAAGCGGTGCTATACTAAAGAACAACGTTAGGTATGATAGTGACAATTATTACATAGACAATGACAGGATTTGGGGTTGTATATGCAATATAAAAAGTTGCGTTCGATATTGTTGTGATGTCGATGAAGTTTACGTGAATGAAACATGCAGAAAGGAAAAAACTCACAGCGAACTAAACATTAGTGTATACCAAGGAACAAAGAGGTTGCGCGATTTTTCCTTACGCGAGTTTTCTCTGATTAAAAGTTTGACGTGTCCTAAACTTCACGCACGTATTTCAGCAGGGGAAAGTGACCTCATTTATATACAGGAAAATGGGTTGTTGTATTATGTGTCTGGTGAATATAAAGCTATGTACGATCCTGGATATTACTGCTTAACGAGAAAGGCAGACAACACTTTGCTGACTATTCTGTGTGAATCATATGAAGATGAAGGAACAACGACAACGTATGCAATAGGTACTAATTCACAATTATTAACCACAATTATTTGGTGGGTGTCTGTATTTCCATAATTTGCTAATTTCCTCTAATTTAAAACTGTTACATAAAGAAGCCTACCTTCCTTTCAGAGTTTTTTTTTTTAAATTAATATTAAACTTTTTCCCACTACCTGTATAGTAACTACCTTTTTTGTACTTTTTATACTTTTTTCGTTAGCATGATTAAATTTTTTTTTAATTAAGAAATGAAATTTTTCTTATGTCCACCATAATGGATTTTATTAAAAGAGATATTTGCAAATATATCAAATAAATTACTAAGAAAACTTCAAGAACTCTTTCTTTGGCTGCATTGAAGTAGGGTATTTTTAGAATCTATCCCCTCCACCTTAGCCCTTGAAATGACCTTGTGCGGTGGCTGAAAGTTGAATAGGGTGACGAATTTCATATGACCTCTGCCAAGTTAAGCATAGCAGTTAATCTTAAAATGACATTCACCTGGTATGTGAAAGAGAAAGAAAAAGAGGAGGTGAAGATAGTGAAAAATTACATTCCGTTATCTGCCAACATTGCAGTGAGCGTTTATAATGTAAATTTTGTATTGTTTTGTGATAAAAATATTTTGAATTGAGAACAATTATTGTATTTATTGCTAACTATTGCAAGGAATTATAATCGAAATTCATGAAGTCATGACACGCCCATTTCTTGGGTACAGAAGTTTCGGTACTTATCTTATTGGCGGAATCCCTGAACATCGGGGATTGGAATGGCTTAACTATATCATGTTAATAATTACCTAATTGACTGGACTTACATTTGTATGAATAATTCTGTGACTACTTGAACTTACAAATGTCCCTACCCCTTCCTCTAGTGACTCCGTATTGCAACACGGGACGGAATAGTCAATCTCATTTAATCTATTCTTGGAAAATCCGCCTAAAAAACAGCTATTTAATCTATTATTATTTTCCTCGCAACATTCTAACAACTTATTGATAAGAAATTTCAATAATTTTAATGGCTATCTGTATTTCTTGAAAATTGTACGTCTGTGGTTCGAGATAAATTAATTAAATCTTAGTTGCATGCCATATCTAGGAGTAATTATGGGCATTTTCATGGAATTTGTCACAAATATTATGTTGAGGGTCAGTGTTAACAGCGATTTATTTGAAGAGTTCGTAACTAACTACCACCTAACAATGTCAATGCTTATAATACATCATTAAATCAACCTTTACAGTTATCCATAATACATTGAAGAAGTTACATTACATTATACGCAAAAATAGTCCTTTGTTTTCAGCCCTATTACTACTAGTTTGTTATAGAGCTACTTCTTTGATTGCATACCATATTCTATGTATGTTCAGAAATATTAGCTGCTAACTCTGGCTGCCACCTTCACTCCGGCCATATTTATAACTTTATTTCTCTTGTTTTAGGCATGATTACATCTTTGCCGTTTTTGGTAATGTCATTCGTAGTCTTTGCAATTATACCCAAGTCAAATCTTTATAAGAAAGCTTTAATGGGTTATGTCTTGACATTATTCTTTGCCTATACATTTCTGCTAATAGTACAACTTTTTCCTGGGAAGATCGATGAAAATTTTGTATGTCCTGCGCTAGGTAAAAACATTATTATAATTGCTTGAACTGTTTTAATTACCATGTCAGTTAGATGTACTTGTCTGTTTTAGTAAGTATATATTTTTTTGTGATGTTTTAACTACCATTAACGTAACATTAATGTAATAGCTACTCTAAATTACCAATACTGCGTTAAATTTATTAATCGTTTAATTGATTACTAATTATAATTATTATATTATT